TCGTTAATGGATTTAAAGATAGCCATTCTTCTACAAAGGAATTTCAGGAACCAACTACACAGAGAAACTGCGGAACTGGTCTTTGCATGCAAATTTGACCCTATCAGGAGCTGAACAAAGAATGAGCTGGATGGGCCATTATAGTCAACACCCAAATAGCATCAAAAGTATGGAACACGTAAGGTCCATCTACACTGCAGGGCAAAAGTCAAATTCAGCTACACATTGTCAGCTACATCAATTGCCTAGCTAAAGTCGAAATAGCTTAACTCGGCTTGTGGAGCTGTCTACACAGCAGGAAGTCGAAGGAAGAACGCTCTTTCTCCAACTCCCCTTACTCCTCGTGAGTTGACGGTTACAGGAGTTGGCGAAAGAAGTCCTCCAGCTCAACATTATTTCGAAATAACGGCTTGCTGTGTAGACCCGCTCTTTGTTATTATAACGCTGCTGTGTAGCTGTACTCTTACAATCCACTCAGTTCGCCTCCTTAAGCTCCAGCACTACTATTGACAATGGGGTTTTTTCCCCCTCTCCCTTCTTTTTCTGATTCAAATTTTTTTTTCTCTTTTTTTCCACTCACCTGAGGAAGTGGATTATGCCACAAAAGCTCACGATACTATCTATCTATATTTGTTAGTCTCTAAGGCTACGTCTAGACTGCACTGTTAAATAAAAAAAAGATACGTAATTTGCAGTACACAAATTCCGTAACTTTTTTCGATTTAATTTCAAAAGAAGCTATTTCAAAATTTGGCGCATCCACACAGCACCAAATTTCGAAATAAAGTGCTCTTTCGAACCATCCCTTATTCCTCATAGAACGAGGTTTACAGGGATGGCAAAAGAGCGCGTCCAGTATTTCGAAATTTTTTACAAAATAGCAGATATGTTCTTTGGACGCGGCGTTGCTATTTCGGGATACCCTGGGGTTCCGCAAAGTGAAAATAAGGGGTCCACAAGAAAATTCCATTACAAGAAGATTTTATGATTTAAAAATAATAATAATTAATATTTTAGCATTTACGCATTTTATTGAAAACAATTTTCATTTGTGTTGCTCTCATGACCTTGTTTAGCATTTGTTTATTATTATCCTGACTCATTTGTGGTCTAGTTTTTCAGCTCCATATATAAGACTGTTTTTAGTGTTCAGCAAAATTCTTTTGAGTTTAAAAGGGTTCCGTGACCAAATAAAATTGGGAAACAGAAATCTAGACATAGCCTAAGGTGCTACAGGACTACTCTGCAAAGTCTCAGATGGGTTGCCAGATTAACATGAGTCTCTGTTGCTGAGTCTTCTGAGACTGAATCAAAAAAGATATTTTGGCCTTGGAAAGGGTTCAAAAAAGGGCAACTAAAATGATGAGGGGTTTGGAACGGGTCCCATATGAGGAGAGGTTAAAGCGACTGGGACTTTTCAGTTTAGAAAAGAGGAGACTGAGGGGGGATAGGATAGAGGTCTATAAAATCATGAGTGGTGTGGAAAGGGCCGATAAAGAAAAGTTATTGATTAGTTCCCATAATAGAAGTACTAGAGGACACCAAATGAAATTAACGGGGAGCAGGTTTTAAACTAATACAAGAAAGTTCTTCTTCACACAGCGTGTAGTCAACCTGTGGAACTCCTTGCAAGAGGAGGCTGTGAAGGCTAGGACTATAATAGAGTTTAAAGAGAAGCTAGATAATTTCATGGAGGTTAGGTCCATAAAAGGCTATTGGCCAGGGGATAAAATGGTGTCCTTGGCCTCTGTTTGTCAGAGGCTGGAGAGAGATGGCAAGAGACAAATCGCTTGATCGTTGTCTTCAGTCCACCCTCTCTGGGGCACCTGTCGGTAGACAGAATACTGGGCCAGAAGGACCTTTGGTCTGACCCAGTACGGCCGTTCTTATGTTCTTATGTAAAAGATGCTTTTCGGACGAGACTGGGTGCGGGCCACTGTCGGCAGACAGGCTACTGGGCTAGATGGCCCTTTGGTCTGACCCAGTACGGCCGTTCTTATGTTCTTATGTAAAAGATGCTTTTCGGACGAGCTGCTGCTGCACTGTCCGGGATCCCAGGCCCTTGTAAATGGCTTGGCCCACAGGCATTTCCCCCTTTGCTCCCCATTAGTGGGCCTGGGTTGTTTTAACCTGCGGCCTGTTCATTCCCCAGATGAGCCCTGGCTCTTTAAATCACATTTTCCCATTCACCAGTCCAGGCTTTATAGACCTGTGGCATATCCCCCCCAGGTATCTCTTTTCCCAGCTGAAAAGTCCCAGACTTGTACCTCTCAGCTCACTAACAGGCCGGCTCTCCCCTGTTCGTCTTGCAAAGCAGCGTGAGCCCTCCACGGCAGCTTTCCTGCTTTGGAAAGGTGGAATGACAGCCACGTCGGGGGCAAGTTATTCACCAGTCCAGGCTTTATAGACCTGTGGCATATCCCCCCCAGGTATCTCTTTTCCCAGCTGAAAAGTCCCAGACTTGTACCTCTCAGCTCACTAACAGGCCGGCTCTCCCCTGTTCGTCTTGCAAAGCAGCGTGAGCCCTCCACGGCAGCTTTCCTGCTTTGGAAAGGTGGAATGACAGCCACGTCGGGGGCAAGTTAGACACACGGGAGCCACGTGCCTGTGCATTGGAAGCGCCTTGTCCCTCCCCGACCCTGAGGCTCACTAAGGAGACCCACGATGACAGAGCAGTGCGTGCCCTCCGTGGGGGGTGTCTGATTTCCTGGCCGGATCTCTCTTCCCTGTTTCATTGATGGACTCTTCTCTGTGAGTGCAGCCTCCTTCCCCTGGATCATGGTATTTTTCATAATAATTTAGTGTTACCCTAGCTCCAGGAGCCCTAGTCACAGATCTGAAACCCAGCGTGCTAGGCGCTGTACATCGACGCCATCTTCCCAGTGAAATGCATCCCATGCCGAGGGCCAGAACCATGTCTAATCACCGCTCTATTTGATTGTCAATTTCACATGCGTTCATTTTTTTGATTGTATCACTTTGGTATATATGGTCGTGCCGATTTTCTGCCACATATTGATCGGAGGAAGTGGGTCTGGCCCACGAAAGCTCATCACCTAATCAACCATCTTGTTAGTCTTTAAAGTGCTACACAGTCCTGTCTTTTGTTTCAGCTAGACCAGACTAACACAGCTGCATCGCTATCACTCAAGTCCCCGATAGACTCCAGAAGCGCCTAGCCCTTGGGCGGGCTCTCTGCAGAAGGACGAATTTCACCAAGCAGCTGAGCCGTGTCAGTGCATCCTTTAACCAAGGGGAACATCTCAGGAGGTGAAGGAGAGTGGACTGACCAGCCCACGAGTCTCCCTTGAGGGTCTTATCACTGTCCCATGAGTTCACACAGTCCATTGTCAGTCAGCTTTATTTTTTTCCCCTCAATATGGAATGAAGTACAGGCAATCCCTGGGTGACATGGATCCGACTTACATCGGATCCGTACTTACAAACGGGGTGAGGCAACCCCTCACTAGCTGCTTCCCCCCAGCAGACCAGGGAGACGCGAAGCTAGCGCCCCCCCCTCCCCAGCAGACCAGGGAGACACGAAGCTAGCGCTCCCCACCCCCCAGCAGACCAGGGAGACGCGAAGCTAGCGCCCCCCCCTCCCCAGCAGACCAGGGAGACACGAAGCTAGCGCTCCCCACCCCCCAGCAGACCAGGGAGATGCGAAGCTAGCGCCCTCCCCCCCCCACCAGACCAGGGAGACGCGGAGCGGCTTTTCTCAGCAGACACCTCAGCTTGAGAATAAAGGACTGAGGGAAGTGAGGTGTGGGAGAATAAAACTGAGCTCTGGAGAAATGTTTGGCTAGAGTTTCCCCTACAATATGTACCAGTTCCGACTTACATACAAATTCACCTTAAGAACAAACCTACAGTCCCTATCTTGTACGTAACCCGGGGACTGCCTGTAACTGTTCCCAGGAAATGAGGGAAGGAGGAGAAGCCAGGAGAAGGGACCTTTTTCAGTGGATCCTTGCCGTTGAGTTGGAGAGTGGATGAGGTGAAGAGAGGTTTGAGAAGGTGTCGGCTGCAGGGGAGAAGGCTCTCGCATCACCAGCTCAGCTGAGATGACGTGAAAGGGCAGAAGAGGTCAGAGCTCTGTGAAACAGCGCAGGGATGGGACAGAGAAAACCAGAGCACGTTCTGGAGAGTTGTAAACCAAAAGTAGGGATTTCTGACCCGGACTCTGAAATAAGGCCTGGATTCGGCATAGCATTCATGCTGAAGTCCCACCAAGTGGCATACACGCTGCAGAATTGCACTGAGAACTGAGGGCATGTCTACCCTAGGAAATTATTTTGACATAAGTAAAATCAAAATAGCGTGTCCACACCATGGGGAAGCCTCGAAATGAGTCCGTTAATGTGGACGCGCCACCTCACTGGGAATCACTGGGGAGTAATTATTTTGAATGACTCTGGGGTGTAATTATTTCAAAATAGCAGCATCCACACGGTCGCGATTTCGAAAGAACTCTTTCAAAATTAGTGTTATTCCCCGAGGAAAGCAGGAGTACAGATTGCAAAATAACCGGCCCGTTACTTTGAAATAACGGGCTTGGTCGTGTGGGTGCTCCGCGTGTTATTTCGAAATAAGGGAGGGTTATTTTGAAATAACTCCCTCATGTAGACCAGGGGTTGATTAAGCAACACCTTAGTATTCCTCTTAAATCGGGACCCAAAAATCAGAATTTACCTTCACTCAGCTCATTGGCATATCAAGGGTCAGACTCCTGCCTCATGCTTCTGAGCTAGGGTAGCATCCCCCCTGCCCTTCATGGAGCAAGAATGAAATTTAGACATGGGGCTAGGGGTTGCATGGGCTCTCTGCAGACAGGTGAATTTCACCCCCCTCCCCCCCCAAACTGGTCATTTCACAAGGATGGAGGTCGAGTCGGGGCCGGTGAAATTGAAGCGGATCAAGCGCTTCAGTTCACATAGTTCAGTCTTGAGTAACTGGGTGCGCTGTGGAATTTTCCGCACCTAATTGACACCACAAAGACATTCCAGAGCAGATTAGCATTTAATTTAATGCAGCAAGGAGCTGGTGGCGGAAGGGTGGTGCGGTTCCTGTGCTAGGCTTCTTGATCAGTGGGGACAGGAATGCAGAAGATCACAGCCTTCCAAGCGGCCACCGTTTCTAAGACAGCAAAGAGGTGTCTTCCTACACGTGCTCAAGGCCACCGGTTGGCAAGGTCAGCCAGAGGGGGCTTGCTCTCTTGTTGCGTGGTTCTTCGGGGAAAGACTCCGGCCCAACTCCTCACAGCCCAGTCGTGACGAGGAGGCAGAGGAACGTGACCGAAATCCCCAACACCACGTAGCTGGTTCGTAGGCTGCCCGCCCCATCCACGTTGCACAGCTCAGTGGTGCAGCAAAAGGTAGGGCGAGTGCTCCCGATTTCATCCACATCGGACGCGATGCATTTCTGAGCACACTCCCTGACCACGACTGAGTCGCCCACAAAGGGGTAAACTGCAACATTTCAAGGCAAGAGAGAAGGAAAGGGTATGAAAAGAAGGTTTCAGGGGGAGAGGGATGGGAGGGTCTCCAGCCCTTCAGGGAGAACTGGGCCTCCCTCTAATTTTTTCCATCCATGTGCAGAATAAATTTTCTTCTGCGCACCGAGGCATGTGTGAGTGTGCACCACCAAGAGACACACATGCTGCCAGCTGTGGGTGTTCTGCTATCTCTCCTGGGCAGCTGTCCAAGCGCTCAGCTTAGAGGGAACAGTGCTCTGGATTCAGCTCCAATTCCAGAAAGGTTCAGGGGTTGGACCAGCTAGGAACTAACGCCCAAACTTGGTGTGGGCCTCCTGTGTAGAGAAAGGCCTCACACCTTCCTTGGGGAGTCTCTCTGCCTCTTTGGGGGCTGAGCCGTCTCTGCCTCCGGCTCAGTTCCACATGGGCAGCCACGAGCAAAGCGGAAATACCTGGAACGTGCTCCTGGTTTTGTGTCAGTCCACTGGGTGTCCCTGCAGGAACAACCCATCTCTCAAGGCTGCTCATCCATGGGCGGCAGATAATGGAGGCAAGGGAAGGCGTTGCCTTCGCAAAACTGCCTACACTGCCCAGCTGCCCGGAAAGGTCTGGGCCTGGGGCTCAGGAGAAGGGGTGTGGCTTTGGGCAGAAGGGGCGGGGCTTCAGCTGCCTCCCCCAGATGGCCCTTCAACCTCCGCCCGTGTGCTCATCCTAGGGGCAGCCAGAAACCCTCTCGAAGAACCGATATGAAGAGACTCCGGAAAAGCGTCTACTCAGCACTCAGCTATCGGCCGATGCAGGCTCATCCTCAGAGGTGCAAAGCATCCCCCCAGGCAGACGGGAGATGTAGGTGCCGGTCTGTCAGCTTCTGTCATGCCTTCCTTCCAAATGCCAGAGCACCCTCAGCTGGCAACAAGTGTTTCTATTGGTGGTGCACATCTGCCCATGCCTGGGTGCACAGAACAAAATGTATTCCACACATGAATGGGGGGGAGAGAATTAGAGGGAAAATTGAGTGTGCCCCGAGGGGAATGCCCCCACGCTCAGTGATTAGAGAACTTGTCTGCAAGGGGGGAGGGACCTATTTACATTCTTTCTCCCCTGCTAGAAAAGAAGGAACTTGAAGTTGGGTCTCCTACATGCCACATAAAGATGCTACTTGCTAGGACAGAAGTTAGCATCTTGGAGGCAGCATTAAATCAGGCCTCTCCCCCCTCCCGACACACACGGAGCTGCGGATGGTTCCCATTTGTGGATCAAAAGCCAAGGAGGCACGGGGCTTAGCAACGCCCCTCTCGTCAGCTAGAGATGTCTCCCTGCCGAAGGGGCCGGCTTTTGTCAATGTCAGTCTAAGGCGTCTGTCTCTCCCCCTCCGCTGAACAGGAGCTGGGGTCCCTAACTCAGGGTTGGGGGACCCCAGGGTTGCTCCTGTGATTTGCCAGGGGACCAGACATTATGAGTAGCGACATTATGAGTAGGTCTATCCCTGGGGCTGGGGCGAGATGAACTTCCTTCCCTTCCCTTCCCCAACTGGGAGCCCATGTTTCTCTCTCTGGGACTCTCGGCCTTACCTTCCTCCAGCGAGTACATCACTGTCTTGCACATGGTGTCGTCGCTGGAGCAGTTGCTGACGGTCATGCACAGGGAGGCGCTCGTCGGCTCCCGGCACGTGTAACATTGCAAGGCGTGGGCTGCAAAGAGGAACAAAAGGGGTTGGCGTCAGGGGATCCACAGGTGCTGTCAGCGCCCTATGTCTCCCCATTAGAGAAACAGCCACTCCCTGAATGTTAAAAATGAACACTTATCTAGACACACGTGTTCTCAGCCACTCCCGACATGATGGCTCTAAACCAATTGCTTCTTGTCCTATTATTAGATGGTAAAGAGAATATTTTTTCTCCCTCCTCCTTGTAACAACCTTTTAGGCACTTGAAAGCTGCTCTTGTGTCCCCTCTAAGGCTATGTCTAGACTGCAGAGTTTGGTATCCTGGAAAAACTGAGCTGCATCCAGGAAATGTGTCTGCTTTTTCAGAACAGTTTCCGAAAAGGCAGGTGTGTTCTTTCAGCATCCCTGTATTCCTCATTGTTTGAGGAAGCAGGGATGTTCTGAAAGAGGAGGTTTTTCTGACATTTGGCCCCGTGTAGACGGGACAAATGTAGGAAAAGCTTCTTCCGAAAAAGCAAGAGGAAAAAAAATCTGCACATTGCGGTTTGCAATTTGAGTATCTTTTTCTGGAAAAAACCTGCAGTGTAGACATAGCCTGTGTCTTCTCTTTTCCAAACTAAACAAATCCAATTCTTTCAGTCTTCCTTCATAGCCCATGTTTTCTAGGCTTTTCATCATTTTTGTTGCTCTTTTCTGGACCGTCTCCCATTTCTCCACATCTTTCTTGAAATGTGGTGCCCAGAACTGGACACAATACTCCAACTGAGGCCTAATCAGTGCAGAGTAGAACAGAAGAATGACTTCTTGTGTCTTGTTCACAATACTTCGGTTAATGCGTCCCGGAATCATGTTTGCTTTTTTTGCAACAGCGTCACACTGTTGACTTCTGTTTAGCTTAGGTCCACTCTGAACCCTAGATCCCTTTCTGCAGGACTCCTTCCTAGACAGTCGCTTCCCATTCTCTGTGTGTGAAATGGATTGTTCCTTCCTCCATGGAATACTTTGTATTTTTTTCTTTTTTTATCATAGATGATTGGTTGGTAGTACCGCTACATCCTTGACTATATTTTTACCTTTTATAGATGAAGGCTTTAACTTATTTAATAAATACTTAACCATTTGGATTTGTATTATTTAAAAAAAATGTTTTTAAATGGATATGATTGTGGACTGGCTGCTAAGAGTAACCAGAAAAGGGCAGGTAGTCACACCTGTGTGTATAGTTACCATCAGAATGTGGTGCTGTAGTGTAAAATACACACCTGCTGGGTGTGGTTCACTGTCCCATATAGTGGCTCTGAAGCCGCCTACAGAGAGATCAAGAAGGAGTTTTCTCTACAGCAGGGCTACTCAACTTTGGAAACCCCGGGGGCCACAATGATACTCACAGCACTTGCCGAGGGATGCAACTTAAGTGGGGTTGCATAGACATGCAAATATATATGCAAATAATTTCTTTGGGTATGTCTACACTACAAAGTTAATTCGAACTAACAGACGTTAGTTCGAACTAACATTCATAGGCGCTACACTAGCGCTCCGCTAGTTTGAATTTAAATCGAACTAGCTGAGCGCTTAGTTCGAACTAGGAAAACCTCATTTTACGAGGATTAAGCCTAGTTCGAACTAGCTAGTTCGAATTAAGGGGTGTGTAGCCCCTTAATTCGAACTAGTGGGAGGCTAGCCCTCCCCAGCTTTCCCTGGTGGCCACTCTGGCCAACACCAGGGAAACTCTATGCCCCCCTCCCGGCCCCGGACCCCTTAAAGGGGCACGGGCTGGCTACGGTGCCCGTGCCAG